ATGTTGAAGCTGGTGAAATTTCTTGGAGTTTATTGCATAATGTTTATGAAAAAGATGAATTGTTACCTGCTAACTTAAAAAAAGCTTTCATATTGTCTGCCCAAACTTTACATCCAGGAAACAACAAACAAAGTGTTCCTTTAGCTTTAAATATTTTTGATGGAACCACCTCTGTTGCAATCATCAGCTATTTTCCAAACGAAACTGCAGCTGCTGGATTTCTAAAGCTTATTAATATTTGGTGGACTATTTTTAATTCAAAGGTAATGTTTAATACAAACAATAGGATTGGTAATGCAGATATTCCAGGTGACCAAAAGTCACAATTTTTTCGAGTTTTTGCAACATGGATTAATGAATGGAAAAACTTGCAGTTTCAAAGATGTAATAAGTATACTTTATCTGCTCAAACAAATAATGCATTAATTACAACACTGAAGGGTACTGCAAGTCTGATGGAAGATTTATTTTCAGAAGGATATAAATATGTTTTAACTAGCAGGTTTCAAACTGATCCATTAGAAAGACATTTCAGTAAATATCGACAAATGAGTGGTGGAAGATTTTTAGTCAGTTTACGTGAAGTTCAAAGCTCTGAAAAGATATTATGGATGAAATCCTTAATTAAAGTCAATATCAATTGTTGGACGAGCAATCTTAAACTTGATAAAAAAATTGACAAAAATGAACTTTTAATAAAATTGGAAAAATATAGCAATGAAATTCAAGAGAATGAGCTTTGTCATGACTCTTATGAAGTTGCAATCAATATATCTGGTTACATCACGAAAAATCAACCAAGTGATAGTGATTTTATGTGTATAGAACACGAGGAATGGGGAAGGAATTTGGTAAACACAATTATTACCAACATATATTTTAACAATGAGCAACAAATAAAAAATGGAAACATTAGAAAAAATGAAGTTGCTGCCTTTAAAGTTCGACAAACCAAAAAAGACAAATGAATAAACCCATAACAACATAGTATATGTATATATATTTTTTGAGAAACAAAAGAAACTTGACTTGATTAAACTTTGTAATATAAATACTTTCAGTAAATGTGCACATTTAAAAATTATGCTAGATTTACTAACATTTTTGTTAATTTTAGTTGTTTGAACCAATAATTTTAAGACTTTAAGATTTTGTAGATTAAAATTGATGGCTAAAATAGATAGTTCATTCGGCTTAATGCAATCATGATTTATTATTAGCTAACTATTTTAGTGTTTGAAAGTTAAGAATTTTGGTAATAGTAAAAATTATAGCTAAGAGCAAATTATTTAAATATCATTAATGTCTTTACAGAATTATCTTCAGGTTTTGATTCAAAAGCTAAAAACCTAAAATCGGCCCACTAATTTTTTGCGTTCAAGGCTACAAATCCGGCCGTGTTATATAGTAGGCCATGCTGTGATGCAAATTTCGAAATCATTTAATTTTGTCCGTGGAAAATAATTAAATTTGAATGTTCAAATTAAGTCAAACTTGACTTCATAGTGCGCAAATAAAAACACTTGTAGAATTTGAACACCTCAATATAATTTGATAAAAATTAGTGCAAATGTAGCCAATAGTCACACCAAACTCTAGACTAACTTTCAGCCTGATTGGATGACCGGTGTAGGATTTATTGCAGTTTTAGTGCATAACCTGGTCAAAGGACTACCAGTTAGTAAAACAAAAAAAAAGTAGACCTAAAATATTTTGTATCGACCTCTTTAAATACATTTACTTTTAAAATGAAGTGAAAACTATTTATACCCTATTTTTTACATTGTATTACCATCAAATATCTAATTACATTTTAAAAAATATTTTTTTGATTTTTTCAACCAAAAGATTATTAATAAATAGCTCAATGTACTCTTTTAATACAAATACTCTATAATATTATTTTTAAAGATGGTGAAAATATTCGTTATACGCCGTAAAATATGAATTTCAGCAGCCTAATTTCTAATAACTCAAATGATGTTCTATAAAGATACTTACTGTTTAGATCAATTATGCAGCGCAACAATCTTTCTTTGTACTCTGGATTATTATAATTTCGCTTATACCTCGACTAATGTTGATAAAAATCTTGATGAGAAGTTTCGACAGTTTGTTCACCTTAGGGCCCCAACGGGGATCCTTTGTGACTGATGAAATCCTTGATGTGGTAGAAAACGGCGTGAATTTTGGGTGTTACGCTTGCACCAGTTATCATTAGGTAACACTTTTTGAAATTTTCAATTTTCTCAGCGAAATCCGGCTAAAGGATGTATCCAAAGCAAGCTTTGACAACTAAATTGAAGCTCGAGGTTTGTTGTTAGTGCGGTGATCTGGTTTCATCCCTTAACGCAATATCAACAATGCTTAGGCAAAACTTGAGAAAACCTTTGCCACCATCAATTCCGAGCTTAACAAAATAGCCACCAGAAATTTTGCGGGAGTGAATAACAGGATTCACAAAACTTGATAAAATATTGCAGCGAGCAACAACATGAACTGTAAAAGAATCTGTTTTTTTTGTCTGTGATTTTTAAGTCGCTGCAGGTGAAGAAATCGCTCAATTGTTGACCTAGTCTTAAAAAAATTCATGTAGAAACTTTGCTCTACCATCTTGCTGCTTGATGTTTTGTTTATAGTTCTAACAAGTTTCTTCAATCTGTTGTTTGACAGCCCCGTATTTAATTGCACATTTACAAGGGCTACAGTGGTTAATTTCGAAGCACTTGATGGTGTCTGTGCACTACTTTGACCTAAAACCAAAACATACATATTTTATAGTTACAATAAACTTTGTTTAGTAAGTTTGTATAAAAATTATTCGCTTTTAAAGAAATTAGAATCTTGTCAAAAATATACAACTTGAAATCTATCTATTGTTATTTCTTAATAGTCAAGACTTTATTTCAATATAAATGTTCAAGTTATTTAAGTATAAATATTTACCAGGGGTAACTGTAAGTGGAGGCCCGCCGGATGCTTTAGCCAGTAGAATAGTTCCTTCCGGAGATAATTCTTTATCGGAAATAACTCAAGATGCGATTTGTTCATATGATTAGGCATCTTTTGCTGCTAAAGATTGAATGTTTTCTCTTAAAATTATTTGAGAGCATTGGTGGGGCAAACTTTTTCCTAAAGGGCTGAGGCATTTGCTGCAACGCACTTTTGGTTTTTTCTTAATAGTGGTTTGCTCTATAAGAGGATGTTTTTCTTGCAGCTTTGAATGAACAATTCGGCACATGAAGCAACAACACATCGTGCCTTTTGTTTCAGGTCTCACTTTTATTGACTTAAAATCAAACAGAAAGGAAGTGCAACTTCTTTCCCCTCTTGTTTCCTGCGCAAAGTAATTCTACACAATTCGCAGAATCCTTTTGGTACCCGAATATCACTGATATTGATCTTGGTATTGTACAGTTGGCATATTCGATCTGCTTGAAAAGTAGTAAGCTGTGTTAAACTTTTTTTAGACAGAGCAAGCACATAAACTTTTGATTTTCATCATGATTCTTTGCTTGATTTGGCATCGTGACAATTCACTAAATTTGACTTCACTAAATCAAACTCTGCCTTTTACAAAACTTAACCTAAATTTATGTTTGATAAAAATCCACTTAACATAGTAACACATATTATTAATTAAAAACTATTAAAATAAAAGAAATATTTACTTGATTTAATTGAAGTAATATTAAATTACAAGGGAATAGTTTTTGAATAGTTCTTTCTTTACCAGGAAACAATTGTTTAAACTATTTACTAGTAAGGAAATTACATTATTGATAATTGTCACACTTATTAAACTAATGATACTTTTCACACGGGTTGTTTTATTTCAAAACAACCCATCAACCTAATTAGTTATTCAGTTAGAGTAATTTTCCTCCGACTGGCCCTCCAAACTTTGTATTGGTCAGATATCTTAGTTAACTTATCTAAATTTTTTAAGTCAATTATCTTTGTCAATATAAAAAATATTTGGTTTTTTCACAGTTATTATGTTTTCAGATAAATAAATATTTTTACTTTCTATGTAGGTATACCTAGAAATCCTTCTTTACCATTGTTTTAGAAATTTTTTGCATTCTGGCAGTAGTTTATACCTTAGGAAATGTTGGTATATTCACGCTATGCATACATGGCCGTCAAGGAGCCATGGCCTGACCACTTTTTTTTTGCGAGGATCTTTTGTTTTAGAAATATAGGCAATTATTTTAGAAATTATGGATTTTATTTTAGAAATTGAAGGGGTGACCCCCTCCACTTTGAAGACCGTGTCAACGGATTTGGCATAAGCCACTATAAATCAAGCTTTAAGTAGCGAATCACTATTTTGGTCTATAAAATGAAAACTGTACAAGTACCGATAAAATAGTTACAACAAAAATTGTTGGTGTTACATAGTAGAACACTTATGTAACCGTTATTTTAAAAATAGTGACCGAATTTCAAAGTAATTGATAACGCTTTGAGGTATAAGTAGCAAAAAACTGACAAAACTTCAACTAAAATTGCAATAAATCCTACACCGGTCATCCAATCAGGCTAAAAGTTAGTCTAGAGTTTGGTGTGACTATTGGCTACATTTGCACTAATTTTTATCAAATTATATTGAGTGGTTCAAATTCTACAAGTGTTTTTATTGGCGCACTATGAAGTCAAGTTTGACTTAACTTGAACATTCAAATTAAATTATTTTCCGCGGACAAAATTAAATGATTTCGAAATTTGCATCACAGGGTACCTTGATGTGTACGCTAACTTTCCGTATAAGTGGAGTTCTTGGGACAGCTAGGTAGGCATTATAAGGATCCGTGCTAACAGTGCATTTATTAAGATGACCTTAAAATAACTTAATAATAGTAATAAATAATAATATTAATAATAATAGTAGTAATAATAATAATAATAATAACAATAATAATAATAATAATAATAATAATAATAATAGTAACTAAAAATATTAAAAAAAAAAAAATTTCTCATTTTTTGACTCTTACCTGTCATAATGAGTAGAGTGCCACAGGTTGTGTATTTTAAATATTTTAGATGACTTAGAACGTATACTACTAAAGAAAAACCATACGCGATCCAACCCATATTCATAAATACTTTTGCAGAAACTAAATATTCTAAAAAGAAAAAGTTAAGTAAGTAAAAAAAATATTTTTTACAAAGTCATCTGCTCACTTTTCATAAAACAGTTGGAAAGAGTTGCAAAATAGGAGGCACTTGTGCCGATATACAACTTCACCTGTATAGTTCTTAAGGGGAGATAGGGGCGCATTGATCGCCGTTGCAGTATTTTGAAAACTGCAAACAACCCGATCTAGATATAAAAACTTATTAATTACTAAACTAAACTAGAACAATTTGTCTTTAAGTAAAAATAAATGTTTTAATAAAAAACATTAATGAACATGGTATATTTCAACATTACAACCTAATACACACCAGTGTATAAAGTTTACATTAGAAGAATAACCACAATTCTATCTATGAAAATAAGCCCGTTATATACTACTAACATATATATGTGTTAAGTTTTACAAAAGTTGAAGCTTATAAAGTCTATAAGAATACAGTATTTTAAGTTTACAAAGAAAATACAAGATTCATACAAGACTTTTATTAGAACTAAAGTTTACAAGATTTTTTTTTTTATAATATCATCCTTTGTCAAAGTCAAGTCGTGATGCTGCTTTTACATTACATTGTTTTTTGTTCCTAAGCAAGTAGTTTTTAACTTTTCCCCTTTTTTTTTCTTTTGCGATGAGTTTCTTTTGTTGGTTGATTTATTTTAGGGTTTTCTTTTCTTCTGACAAACGAATTTCATTTCTGATTGGAGTCACAGTCAAAATCCTTGTTTTTAATTGCCTACTTTTAATACTTCTTTTTCTAGCAGATGCTTTCGGGTAAGGTTTCAAAACTTCAGGTGAGAGTAATGAAGCAATGCTTGGTGACACTTTGTTTGAGAAACTTGTTTCATGATGTACTACAGGCATTTCAGTCTCCATGCCATCAACATGTGCTATAGTCATTTCAGGTTCCACAAGAATTGTGTTTACTACATTTGGAGCAGCACGATCTGTAACTGATGATGGTAAATATTCATCATCTTTAATAATTTCTGGATTAAATGGCTTAATGCCAGCTACTTAAAATCCAATCTCTGTATATTAGATAGTGAGAAAGCTTTTGTATATGGTTCGCGAACTATTGAAACAATATCATAAAAGGTGATGAGTCTTGGATTTGTGACCATCCAATTATCACACACAGCATTGTAAAACCTTTTCAATGGTCCAAAAACAGTTCTATCCAATAGTTGCAATTTATAGGTACAATGGGGAGGAAAACTTAGCATTGTAATTTCATGTTGAATTGCAAGATCCAAAGCTCTAACAGAAATATGACTTTTATGGCTGTCCAGAAGTAACAAAACTGGAGATTCATGAGAACAGTTCGAATACCTCACAAAATGTTTTATCCATTCTATAAAAATGTCTGAATTCATTCAACCAGAAGGATTTGCAAATCCCACGCATCCAGGAAGACCTTCCTTTATCATGTAATCATGAAATTTGACCCTAGGAAAAACAAATAGTGGAGGAATAAAGTTTCCAATTGCATTTGAAGCACAACATACAGTTACTAATGTTCCTCGTTCTGCAGATGTGATTCTTCCTACTTGTTTACATCCTTTACCTGCTAACACTTTTACTGGCTTTTGTGCTGTTGTTAAATCAGTTTCATCAACATTATATATGCAATAAGGATCAAGCTTATATCGATTTCTTACTGTTTTTAGATTTTGGAAAAATTCTTCAGCAGTGTGTCGGTTAAAGACAGTTGATCGAGCAAAGCTAGTTGCTTCAAGTGTTCGTAAAAACAACTCTGGTTGTCTTTTCATAAAACCTTGCAACCAATTAATCCCTACAATTTTATTATTGATCCATGATGAAGGGCAAATCTAATTATTTTTTACAGCAAACTCGTATGCCAATAATCGTATTGACTTAGTTGAAAGTCCATAGTTCATTTTTGATGCAAGTAGTAATTAACTTGACAAACTTTTTTTTCATCTTCTGCAGTATAAACTTGTTTATTGTTGTAATTAGGCTTAAAAGATTCATTTGGGTTGAGCTTCTTTTTATTACAATATCTTTTTAAGGTCATTCGATTTATGCTAAACTTGCGAGCTACAACATTCACTGGTCTTCCCTCTAAAACTTCATTAACAGCTGATTTCATTGTATTACATGATATAGTAACTCTGTCTGTTTTTTTTTTTTTTTTTTTATACCTAACCATTTAAAGATCTGAAAATTTAAAAAAAAGTAAAATAAAATGATTGTTTAAAAAAAATATTTTTTATAATAATATTATGTAAACTAATTGTAAAACTTATGTAAAACTAAAAACTAATGTTATTAATATTAGTTTTTAACACTATTACATTTTAAAAATGAAATTTTAAAAGTTTATATAAAGATTTTTTATTCGTCATAAGTTTAAATGTATAAAATTTAAACAAAAAATTTAAGTCTTATAATATAAGTTATATGGGCCACTTTGATCCTCCGATCAATGAGCCCCGCATAGTCAACGATCAATGTGCCCCATTAGGTACAGTTGATATATTGATGCCAATAACTTCTATAAATACAGTAACCAACTCAAAAAAACAAATTTATTATAAACTTAACACATATGAGTTTACAATAAATTGGTTGTAAAGTCATACGGAAATCTAATTAAAAATTTATTTGAATTTGTTTACAACTTTCAATAATCACTTTTCATGATGAAAAACATTAACGCTGAAGTTGATCTTATCAAAAATTATTACGATTAAGCAATGAAGGGTAGTATAATGGTTAATTAAATTGCAACCTCTGTTAAATTAAGGCAAAAGTATACGAGTAAAAGCTAAAAGATCATATTGCCCCGGCGATCAATGCGCCCCCATCTCCCCTATAGTTAGTCAAGTGTTTTGTATTTATAGTTTAGTGTTTCAGAAAGAAAAATTGCCAAAAGAATGAAAACATCCAAGATTGGAGTTCATAACACAATCAAGCGTTTCAAGGAAACTGGTCAATATTGTGACTTACCACAACCTGGACAGCCTAGAAAGATAGATGAACATGTAGATCGTCGTATTACAAGATTATCTATGTCAAACAGAAAATTAACAGCTCCACAAATAATGAAAGAGTACAATGAAACTGCTGAAAAACTTGTTTGTGTCCGGACAATAAAAAAGCGTTTGATGAAAGCTGGACTTAGAGGGCGTGTAGTTGCCAAAAAACTGTTGCTAAGGAAAGCAAACAAGGTGAAACAACTACAGTGGGCTCGCAAACATGCCAACTGGACAATAAGTCAATGAAAAATAATAGTATGGAGCAATGAGTCCAAGTTTGAATTATTTGACAACAAGAGAAGATTATTTGTCCGCCTGCACCTGAATGAACGTTACATTTCGCAGTGTACTGTGCCTATTGTTAAGCATGGAGGAGGTTCAATAATGGTATGGGGATTTGCAGGTCACAAAATAGGAGATTTGATCAGAGTTTGTGGAATTATTAAAAAGGAGCAATACAGAGAAATTTTGGAGAATTATGCCGTTCCATCTGCTCATCGAACGGTGGTTCGACGCTAGCCTGTTTTTATGCAAGATAATGATCCAAAGCACAAATCTAAACTTTGTACAAATTATCTGAATCAACTAGTAGAAGAAAAAACCCTTACTTTAATGGACTGGCCTGCGCAGTCACCAGGCCTCCAATCCCATTGAGCTTCTTTAAGATGAAATAGATTGGTATGTGAAGAAATTCCAAGTAAAATCTGAGGAACATTTATGGGAGTTACTGCAAAAGGCTTGGAAAGCTGTAACCATGAAAACTTTAAACAAATTAATCTTTTGTATGCCAAGAATATGTGAAGCAGTAATAAAGAAACGTGGTGGTTATTTTAATGAACGTAAAGTTTGAAACTTGTGCAAAATAATAAAGACCTCATAATTTAATTTTTTAATGTTTGTTAAAACATTAAAAAGTTTTTTTCCCCATCCAAAGGTTTTTAGTTTTTATCACATTTAATGATAAAAATTAAAATTTTTTGTAATAAAATACTAAAACTGCTAATGAGATTCAAGTCAAATAAAGTTTGTAATAAACACAAGTTTGTCTGTAACACAAGTCCATGTAGGTTTGTAATAAACACAAGTCACAAATTTGAAATAAACTACTAAAAAATTTTAATGATATTAACGTCTAATCGTGTAATCTCACCTACCTGCTGGACAAAAAAACTGTTAGCGGTGTTCTCGAAGACAATATGATTGTTTATTTGTGTTCCCAAATGAATTTCTAATTAATCTTAATTTTATCTAATTGTTGTGGACGATTCATCTTCACTACTTACACTACTTCACTACTTCGCCTTGTTCTTAAGTTTTTTTTATGTCCAAACGATAAATGACAAGACTGATAAGAAAAAGAAGTTTTAAACAAATCCGCCTGTAAAAAAAAAATTTTGATTGTATTTTACTTTATCTAACTTCTTATTCAACTAAAAAACAATTCCTTAATTATCGAAAGGACAACCTAACAAAAGATCGACTGATTTCGCAGTATAACATATTAATGAAAAAAAAAATGGTTGTGTAAAAAATTTGGTTTAAATTATGGTGACATTATAAATGCCATAAACGGTTTGCATCTTAACATAGCAGCAATGTATATGCGAGTATAACTTTTGATATTTTATTAAACTTTTAGATAATATAAGTATAAGGCAGTTTTTTTCTTGAAAAAAAGTAATTAAAAAGCTCATGAGACTTCTTTATTTTAAAATTTTGCTTCTCAAAAAAAAACCTTTTACCAGTTAAAAGGCTATTATGTTAGGAATCATATATATTTTTAATAATTCAACATTTTGAGTTCAGCATTTTGAGTCTACTTGCAATCTTAAGTTAACTCAAGATTGCAAGTGGAATTTTGGAATAGAATTTTTTCATCTATGACGCAACTAGAAAACTAATTCAACTAATTAATTCTTCTCTGTTAACTTTATTATTGTAACTTGTTTTTTTGTAACGTGTTACGGTCAAAAGTGGATCCAAGATATTTTGATTTTGAATAAAGTAACTTCCGGTAAAGTTTTTTTTTTTGTAGTTATTTAGGTGATCCCAGAAGTCATTTTTGGCAAGATTGTATCTTAATTATATTTAGTTAGAAAAGTTTAGAAGTTATCCAGAAGTTGTTTAACTTGAATACCAAAAAATTCTGGTTCCGCCACCAGTGTTGCATTTGTTGAGCAGCGTTTAAGTTGTAAAGCTTAAAAAAGTGAACATGTTTTGCAACTGTTTTTTCATTGTTTAAGGTGTAGTGTTTCCAAGCATCTTACATTTTGACAGAAGACATCTTTTCCGAACATTTTGAAAATAAATTAAATTGACTACAAATAATCACAACAAAATTACAACGTTTTTCTAAAAACGTTCACACAAATTCAAACTAATAAAATTCAAAGAAAACAAAAAAGTAATTCTCATCAATTTCTCGCGGCAAAATTGCTGTCTTAATTGTTATGAATTATCCTTAGCTAGTTGCTAGCCTATGTAGCCAACAATCATTCTGGCCATTGCTATTTTTATCATTACAAAATTTGCTAGCTGATTTTCCGCCGGGTAATAACTAGATTAAAGCATTAATATTGTCAGTAACGTCCAAAAATGCATGAAAATTTCAAGCATTTATAAGCTTTACTAACAATCAGATTAACGTTAATAATTAGTTTGCGAGTCATTAGGCCGGGTGAATAAAAAAGAGTAATTGCTTTTACTCAGCGTTTTTGGAGTAACTGTTCAGCTTTACGTGAATAAAAAGTTTTTGTTTATATAAAGTTGAATAAAAGCAGTTGCTTTTTTTTATTCACCCTGCCTATTAACAGTTAAAATAGATAACCAAAGATCTAAAAAATATCTTTATAATTAACTCTTAAACTGGTAATTTCAATGCACTTATAACAAATATTACCAGAAGTCATTAAAAGCACATATATTGAGTAACATTAAGATTCTAAGAATAGATAATCAATGAATCAATAAAACAAACGCTTTGTACTTAAAGCATTTAAAAAAAAGTTTTTAAAACAGCATAATACCTGTAATAAACAAATCAAAGCGTGAAATCACTTATTGGTAAAACTATGCACTAAAAAACTGTGATCTTTTTTGGAATGTTTATTATTGAAATTTAATTATATAATTTTATAATTTATGGACGATCTTTATCTTTTTTATTATATTTAAATTTCAAAGTTTAATAAAAAAACGGTTATAGCCAAACATTGCTTTTAATTTTCACATTTAGTTAAACTTCCGAATGTGATTAAAAATTCGAATGAAAATTTCACAAAGTTGTTTATAAAGTTTGTTGTTGTTGTTGTTGTTGTTGTTGTTGTTGTTGTTGTTGTTGTTGTTGTTGTTGTTGTTGTTGTTGTTGTTGTTGTTGTTGTTGTTGTTGTTGTTGTTGTTGTTGTTGTTGTTGTTGTTGTTGTTGTTGTTGTTGTTGTTGTTGTTGTTGTTTAACAACACAACATAAAACAATATCGTTAAAATACAAATGATAAAGTTATTATTAGGCCTACTATTTTTTTACAACAGTTAATCAACTGTCAAATTTATTAATTGTGCATTACACCTCCATTTCATCTTCATATCTTGATGTGGTAACTGCTTTGATTATGTTTTTGAAATTGTCAGTCACAGTGGCTACAGCAAAAAGGTCATTTTCAAAACTTAAGTTTATAAAAAATTATCTTCGTAGTTCAATGGGTCAAGAACGCCTTAACGATTTAGCCTTGTTGAGCATTAAAGCCTCGTGGGCAAAAGTTATGGATGTTGACCAGATCATTGACCGATTTGCAGATATAAAGAATCGTCGCAAAGACTTGTTTTAGAGTTATCATCTGTAATGTGTATAACAATATAATATACATAAATATATAAATGTATCTCATATGTATCATGCTAAACTTGCGTGAAATAAAGAAAATTTGGTAAAAAAGAAAGTTCGATCGCACACGACGATCCTCACACGGTACGGACATGCATTTCTTAAAAGTGGGTCGATAATTAAAAACATAAAATTATTGTCTACCAAATTGTCATGGATTGTATAGGAGATAAGGGGGCCCCTTTCGAAAGCCTTGCGGGGGAGAGGGGGCAGAATTTGAAGTTACGCCGCTGTTGGAGAGTATTGTTCTTGTTTTAATTTATTTCTCAAAAAAAAAATAGACATATAGATAAATAGTATAAAACTATAACAGTATAACACAGATAAATAGTGTAATACTTATTAATTTAGATTAAATTAGTAATAAAATAGAAATTTTTACTTGACTTGTTGTCAGTATCCCAACACAAAATATCTTTTGGATCATTTTGTTTTGTTGTACAATTTTGCCACAATCCTGCATGTCCATTATTTGCTGGAATTTTTACCCAATAGTTCGTGAATGTAGATGTTACAGCTAAACTAAAACCAGCGACAGTTAGCCCAAAAACTAAAACTTTTAGCACACTCTGATTACACATTACTACAACGATGAATAGTTTTCGTTTTTCACTATTTTTTATTGGTTCGTTTGGTAACACACTTCTTCCAATTTAAAGAAATTGTTTTGATACACGTTTAATTGTTATACGAGAAAATATTTGTTTAATATTTACGTATTATTGTTTAAAATAGCATAAGTAAAGATGGGATTTGCAAGTTAATCTCCTTCCGAAATTTCTATAATTTTGAACGTAAGAAAAAATGTAAACACTATTCCAATATGCTCTGTGTCAAAATTATTTATGGCGTATTGGTTAGAAAGATTTAGAAACAAGGTGACGTGGTGTTTTGAGAGAAAACAAAATCTTCTTGGGGCACCTAAAATACAAAAATTTATAAATTAAAAAAAAAGTAAATAAAAGGAGCATTTTTTTAGATTTATTCTTTACTTATATATTTCACTTAACTTATATATTTCACTCTTTTATATGTTCCAAAGTGAATAGCTTTCTCTTTTCAGTATTTTTTATTCGTTTGTTTGGTAACACACTTCTTTAAAGATCTTTAACTAATTTAAAGAATCTGTTTTGATACACGTTTAATACTTGAGTTGCACGAAAAAATATTTGTTTAATATTTATGTATTATTGTTTAAAATAGCTTTTTTATTTTTTAAATTCATATTTCGTCATTAAAAAATAATTTTTTACAATGTTTTTGCAACATAAAAATATAACATTAAAGTTTCGACCGGAGCTGGCTGAAGTCATGGTCTTGTGATCCAGCCCCGTTAACATAACTAAAAAATTCAGACGATAAAAATGAAAAAGGAAAAAAGAAACTAAAGCGAGAACTGATTTAAGAATCAATTTACTATTTACAGAAAAAAAGAAAAAAAATTAGTTATTTCTTCTTCTTCTTATTATTATTATTATTTTAATTCTCTAGTTATTCTACTTTTATTTTTATTATACACGCACGCACACACGCGCAAATGCACACGTACACACAAATGTCCTTTCATATATACATACAAAATCAAATAAATCTGTTTTATATTCCATCTATAAGTTGTGTAAGATATAATAATATTATAAGTTGTGTAAGATATAATAAATATTACATTTACAAAATGCGTTATTATTGTAAAATAAAATAATATCATACATACGATTGATACATATGATACATACATGCACGGCGTTAATTTTTGTCCAAAAATCTTTCAGCGCGAATTGTTCGCGCGACTATTAAAACTAAATGTCGTGTAGACTGGAATATTTTTACGTTTGGTTCAGTCTAAACTAAAATATGCAGTTAAGTAACCAAGGATCATGGCTTAATTGGTCTGAAGTTGAATGTTTTTATGTGTTAATATGTTGAAATAGGAGTTATATTTTTTGTTCATAAAAGAATATTTGTATTTTTACACAATCTTTGTATTATTTTAATCATAATAAATAAGTCTACAAAAAGATGCTCGATAAACCACTATGTTAACTCTTCTATACACACAGTTTTACATTTGAAATTGATACTTACATTAATATCTTTCTTTTTAGCTAAAGATTTTGAAAGTTAATGAATATATCTTGAGATATCTTATTTTTTCTTATAAAAATTGACATTTTTGATTTTCAAAAAGTCTTAAAACCTAAAATAATGAATTAACTTTTAAATCTCTAACTAAATATGGACCTAACACACTAAGGACCATTTGTGGAATTTTTTTATAAATGAAGTAAAAGATAAGTATGAGTTTATCTCTGATGTTTCTTTGTGACTTTTTAACTAATTTTCAGTAAACTGGCAGCCATTTTAAAAAAATATTTTTTTATTATTTGATTAAAAAACAAACAAACTATTTTTTAAGACTTTATCTTGAATGTTAAATGTAAATATAGTTAAATAGTAATTATAGAATTTTTATTTATTTCTCGCTTAACATTAAAAAAAAAAGTTTTTAATTTTATATTTGAAAAAATATATTTTATAAAAATAATATTTATTATTAGGTATATATATATATATATATATATATATATATATATATATATATATATATATATATATATATATATATATATATATATATATATATATATATATATATATATATATATATATATATATATATATATATATATATATATATATATATATATATATATATATATATATATATATATATATATATATATATATATATATAAAACAGTATAAAAAAATGTTTACAAATATCTTAACTTGCAACGTGTGACAGGCTACACATCAGTGTTGTCCATCTTTAATCGAGAAATGCATTCAGAACATTTTATGAAGTAAGTTTATGTTTATTTTACATTATTGTGTTATTAGAATATTTAAACACACTGAATATTACTTTTTATTTTATTTGGCTGAGGTAAGCAGGCTTTGAGATGAAAAAAAAAAATGCTTGAAAGTTTTTGAAGTTCCAAGTTTTATCTTTTTATCGTGTATATTAGTTATTATTTTTACTTTTATATTTTTGTTTTCTGTTTTACTCCATATTTGTCAATTTCAAAGTTATGTTTATTAAATTTTAAATTTGTCTGGATTTTATTCTGCATTTTTTTTTTGTTTACTTGTATTGTAACTTCATTAAATATTTTTATGAAGGATAAATATTTTACTTGGTTACATATTATTAGCTTATTATTAAGTTATTATTAAGTTGATAAACAAGCTTATTATTGATTACAACGGTGTTATTGAAATTATTGAAAGACCTCTAGTAATGCAAAGACTGGTACTACTGTGAATAAAATGTGTAAACAGCTACAAAAAAGTAATTTAGGAATTATAATTAGTATATTCAAACAGCTATTTGTTACATTAAATAAGTAATGAACTAAAGTGTTCACAAGTTTTCTATTTTTACAGATATAAATGTTTTATATTATTGATTTTTTATACAAATGTTGGTGTATATCTTAAAAAACTGTGTTTCTCTCATTTATATTCATTAATATCCATTTATATGTTGCATGTTCAAAAACCAAAACAATTTGTAAGGTTGTTTTTCAAAGTTGATAAACATCTGGTAAGGTATCAGATATACTTTGTATGAGGTTATAGTAATCTGATATAAGGTATTAGCTTATTCAAAACCTTGATGTTTGTGTTAAGGTTATCTAAGTAAAGCCATGATCCAAGTAGGGATGTGGAGTATTAAAAGGACTCAGGATTTGTATGTCACAAAAAGATTACTTTAAGTATTGTGAATTTCAAAATAGGTATCAGAGATGTAATGACTTGCAAGGTTGCTCAGTTTTATGACTTTTTATTAAAAAAATTATGCTGACAAACATCAAAAAGAATGTACAAGCAACAAATTTTTTGGCTTCATTTTATTTCTGAAAATCCTTTTGCATTTTGATTATATCTCAATTTTTATATAACCTTCATAAAAAAGATAAGATATTTAAAATTTATTTCTATTAGTTTTTGAAAATATTACCTGTAAAAAATATCAATAAGATGGCATCTTTCCTTATGTTATGCTATTTCTTTTTTTTAAATAAATTAAGTTGTAGATATATATAGTAGTTCTATTGGTTAAGGTTAAGTTATTATATTCATTTAAGAATAAATTATTCTATTAGTTTAAGATTAAGTTATGGTTACCTATTTAATCCACAATACATCTAAAGCTTGGCTGTTCAAAAAGCTATGCAAATTACAGTGTGTGTAGATTTATAAAATAGAATTTACAAATTGGATGAAAATAGAACATGTATGATAAATTGATAGGACAGTAGTAAAATTTTATTTTTGTTTTTTAGGTATTGGCAGGCTGTACCTGACGTCTTACTTTCTTGCAACGAAATCAAAAGAACTACAAACCAATTAAATTAATTTTTATAACAGCATTTTCTTGGAAGAATTTTTTTCTTTGAAGAATTTTCTTTGAAGAATTTTATTTACTAATCAGATTACTTGTATTTCATAATTTCTTTAAATTATTTTTGGAGATTTTTGGATTTAAATTTTGGTGTTATACAAAATTTTAAGTTTAAAAAATTATTTTACATATAGATTCATAGATTTTTAATAATTAATTTTTATTCAGAAGTACAATTATAATTGGAGTGTCCAGTTTTTGTAATATTTTTTCTGCAAATATCAATTTGATATTATGTTATCAATGTGAAAGTATAACCTCAAGATATAATTTAAAAAATGGTAGGATGAGGTACATAAACATACGCTTTGTTTTCTTATGTTTTGCGCAAAATGTCTGTACCGATAGAAACCACTCGCAAAATTTTTTGACATTGATTAGTCTTTTATAATTTTACTGTTATTTTTACATGGTTTCTACTTACTATGACAGTAAGTGTGAAAACACGCGCAAACTGGCAATCGGGAGATTTTTGAACTAAAGTTAACGCCGTGATGTATCATACATACGATTAAAATGTTGCGTCAATTTATAAGACATTAAATAACTAAGTTTATCAAAAGTTTTTAATAATAGGTTAGTAATTGCTTTAAATCAAAATAAAATAAGTGCACGTTTAAAATGTTGAGTCGAATATAAAGTTTTTATAATACTTGTTAAAAGCAAGTTCCATAACCGCGGCCCTTGACCCTCGGCCCTCTTATCGAAAAATCAGCTTGTTTTGATAATGTTAATAAGCCTAATATAAAAAGTATTTGATTAAAGATTTTTCGATTTACCAAAAAACTAAAAATAGTAATAATGCAAGCAGGAATTTCAAAAATTTTATTAATTGTAATTTTTTATAACATTATTGGATGCAACAAAAAAATTATTCGCAAATTATGATAATTATGATAAGTTGTGGATAATCTAAATTTTGTTTTCATATAACCTAGATATGTATATATATATATATATATATATATATATATATATATATATATATATATATATATATATATATATATATATATATATATAGAGAGAGAGAGAGAGAGAGGTAGATATATATATATAAAGTAACATTTAAAAAACGTTTTTTTACAACAGCGAATTTAAAAGCATTCAAAGAACAATTATCTCTGCTTCATTGGAAACAAATAGAAGCCTCTTCTGATGCTAATCTAGTTTATGAATCATATTTTAAAACTTTTTATGAACTGTATGACGTTAATTTTCCAAAATCTACTGTAAATAAAAAACTAAAAGCTATAATTTTTCCATGGATTACAAACGATCTCAGAAAATCCTTTAAAATTAAGCAAAAATTATATATTAAATATTTGAAAACCAAAACAGAGGAAATTAAAATTCTTTACGAAAATTATGCCAAAACATTTAAAAAAAAAGGAAAAATTTAAAACAATTGTACTACTCTAATTTACTT